TTTGATACTTCATTTCCATGATCTAAATATTCTTAAAAATTAAAAGTTTGTTGTCATTTGGAAGTGTGTAGGCCTTCTTGCATTTTTATTCAGTGGCATAAAATGGTCTTTAAAATGACAATAATATCGCTTATCGCAATTATTTCTGGGGCAAAATATCGCACAACAAAAAGTTGTTATCGTGACAGGTCTACATGCTTGTGAGTGTTTCTTTGCAATGATTTGAAAACTCACTCATCTGTAGTAACGGATCACTCTCTCTACCTCCCTTACTTTAAGCATAGTCCACTACACATTAACATAATGGCGCATGAGAGAAAGGAAAGGATTACACACATTCCCGGTTTTTGGCCTGATCCTTCTTGAGCTTCTCGATTCTCTGGAATAAGAGCGCTTTGTGATGCTCTTTGTCTTCAATCTCCGACACAACCTCAAGATGTTCAGCACTCTTCTCTTTCTGTAAAGATGTTTTCTCTTTCAAATCTAATAGCAAAAGAAAGGAAATATCATGGTAGTCATTCAACTGACAGATCCAGACAACACAATATTAGATTTCTGTTATTAAAATGTCAAACAAGTGTGCCAATCAACTTCTCACCTTCTTTGTATGTTTTTATCATGTCAAAAATGGTTTCATCCTCCTTGCATTTCTTAAAACAAGTACCTATGTAGAAAGAAAAAAAGAAAACATATACATTGTTAAACATATATATATGCCTGGGCAACTTGAAATATTCACATTAGGGATGTCAATTTTCGATCATTTCTATGATCGATCGTCGTTTCAATTAACGATCAATTAATCGATTAATCGTTAACCTTAATGCTGCAAAACGCGTCTATGCATCCCGGCATGACAGGATGTGCGGCGCTGCTGCAGCAAAACACACTGTTGCTCACATGAAACATTATCCTGTGAGTATTATGACCAGTACTTAATTTGAACCTGCTGGATCCTGTTGCGGAAAATGTCAGATTTAGAATTTTTGCGTTGCGGTAGGCCTATTTGTTTTTAAAAATCCGGCATTTACAGTGCATTAGATCGTGACAGTGCATGCTTGCTTGCGTGCGTGCATACGAGACGGAGCAAGCACGGGTTTGGCTAGATGTATTTGGAGCTTATTGCTCACGTCTCATTCGGCACAAATCCAAATGTTTCCATATTCGTAATGTATTTGAATGTTAAACTATTATTTATAATGTACACTAGGCTTGTACTTTACATTAAAAGCTTAATTTGTACATTATGAATGAATGACGATGCATTTATATACCGTCACCGTCACTCACAGCCGCTCGCACGTGTTTTGCGCATGAGCCGCACGCAGCCCAAAATTAAACGACTTAATCGACCATCGATAGCTTTAATCGATTGCATCTCTTATTATCATCTTATCTCGATCGTCGATTAATCGTTGACATCCCTAATTCACATACATTTTTCTTGCAATACAAAATTTAAAAAGCTACAGAAACCTGATATATTAAATGAATTAAAACGGTAACTGGGACTTTTTAATCTCACGGTTCTTACTTTTTTCCCCCCTCACAATTCTAAATTTTTCATCTCACAATTCAACTTTTTTTCTCTGAATTCTGAATTTATATCTCACAATACTGAGCTTATATCAAAATGTTCTAAACTATCAGAAAAGTCAGAATTTTGAGACAAACTCGTAAATGCAAGAAAAGGCCTTTTCTTGCCTTTTTCTTGAAAAACCTTTTTTTTTTCATTGCAGAAACAAAAAAAACAGAATTGCAAGATTGTATCTCGCTTTGTATCTATTTCTGAAAGAACAAAAAGTCTGAAGTCTTTTTTTGTTTTTTAATCCTGGGGCAGAAACAAGCTTCCATAAAAAGCTTAATTGTGAATATCATGATTTTAATGCACTTTTTATTTGGCTATTAAGTTTCTGTGAATCAGTTTAAGCGGTCTACACAAATGAACTGATTAAAATTATAATTCAATAAATTAAGAAAATTAAAAAGTTTAAAAAAAAATACAACAACAACAAAAGTGTTCAGAGCAAATACAAACTTCCAAATTTTAAAGGTTAAACACACCACAATTCATTTTTCACCATATATCACCATGCCTTTTTTAAATGCAGATGGATTATAATGACAGATATTTAACCTGACATGCCCTACTTTAATTTCCATCCCACAAGTAATCTTTTTAAAATGTATATCCAGCAGGTGATGGAGATTTACCGCTGATTACAGAACCGGCTTTACTGATAAGATGCGCGTTAAACATCGCATGCGATTTATCGTGCAGCCCTAATGTATATTAACAATAACACTTGCACATTCAACTCAAACATCTGTGCATCTCTTACCCAAGACGGAATTCATGTACCGCCTGTGTTCCTGACAGAGCTCTGTCACTCTTCCATTGAGCACTTCTCCCATGGCCTGATCCAGCAGTTTGGTCCTGATCTCCTCCAGTTTGCTGCTTAACTGCTCCGCCACATTGTAGTCTCTGATGGATGCCATACTGAGCTGCAAAATCATCCAAACAACACAGTGACAGTTAGTTACTACCAGTGTTGGGGGTAACTCATTACAAGTAATGCGAGTTACGTAATCAGATTACTTTTTTCAAGTAACTAGTAAAGTAAGTCTTATTTGACATCAGGGGAAAAAAATACAATACAGAACGAACAATCATGTCTTTTTGGACAATATTTTTGGAAGTAGGCCTATAAGAAAGTATAATTTCATGTCTGGCCTATTTTGCATTTGTTATCAAAAATGGACATATTTCTTTCTTTCTCTCTCTCTCTCTCTATATATATATATATATATACACACACACACACACATTTAGACGAGCTAAAAGAATATATATCAATATAAATGCAGGAGTATTTTAGCGAGACTATTTTATAAAGCTCGTCTCGTTTTCCTAGCTAAATACTGGAAATGTCAGTCGGACTGTTATTTTCAGTGCAAGATAGTCATGCAGATCACCATAAGGGATTTCATCAGCATTAATGTAGTGTTTTTTCCCCTCTTTAAATCAAGTTTTTGATGCAGTATATTAAAATATTCATATATGCAATATTCAGCCACACTATAAAAAAATAAATCCGTAAAATAACAGAAAAGGTACTGGCAGTGGCAGCTCATTACACACGACATTATGCATTAATTTTACAGACATTTCTGTTAACTCTAAAACACAGTGCAATGAAGTTTAAATTCAAAATACTTGTAAAACAGCTGTAAAAAATAAATACAGAAAAAATCCTTCAAATTACACGGTATATTGTGCCCTATTTTTACAGATTTTTTTTTTGAGTGCATTTACATTTTCATATCAGGCGGTTTGTGGTCATCTGGTCTTTCCACTAAATTAATCTCATCTAAAATGTATTGTTTACATTTTATCCTTCCACTATTTTACAAATACCCTGTTGAAAGAAAAAAGCCTGTGGGCTAGTTTTAGAGTGATTTAAGCAGTTTTGAGCTGGTCAGGCTTGGGAGACTAACTGGCTGACGACTTAAACCAGCTGAGTACCAACTTGCAAGAACAAACCTTTATACCTTTTAACCTTTAGCTGGTTCAAGCGGTTTTCTTTCAGAAAGGTAATGTCAAACACTTTAAGTTTATATTTCCGATATTTTTTTTTTTTTTTAAATCCCTTTACAACAACTTTATGCCCTCTTAGGCCTGTGGAACAAATAAACAAGCGAGAAGAAACGTAATACCATACTATTGTTGCTTAGCTACACAAGCACAATTTTTCCTTATTGAAAGCAAAATTAATAGTGACAAATATGTTTCAATTACATACAGTTTTTAAAGGACTTTTTAATATGTACAAATTGTTCATCTAACATTTGAATGACAAGAAGTGAGACATCAAAACCGGATCACACATAAACAATGACTGAGCGTAAAGGTATCAGTGATTATGAACATGTTATCAGTCCCGTACTATTATCACTATAGTTCAAGGACACCATATCTTCAGCTGCTACAACAAGTCGAATCTCTGCAACCTTTTAGTACAAATCAAATGTTTGCATGTCACACATTTTGATGCAATACATTTTCGGTCAGTTTCTTGAAAAAAACAAACAAAATACAGGTCATCCAGGTTGACTAACCACACCTGTATAATTCAAACACATAGAGGATGTTGTCAAGACATAATAAACGTCCACTTATCAATAAATACACATCAATAAAAAAACACCTCAACAATTGTTAAGTAATTCCTTTACCAAATGTAATGAGATGTAATCTTGACTAGGCCAGACAAACCAATGATTGCTCAAGCAATGGCGTGAGTTGGAGGCGGGACTACCTGCTCGTCCAAAAGCTATATTTTTTTAAAGGGGTCATCGGATGCCAATTTTCCACAAGTTGATATGATTCTTTAGGGTCTTAATGAAAAGTCTGTAACATAGTTTGGTTAAAATTTCTCAATGGTACACCTTTTCAGAGTGTAACACAGTTTGTAGTTCGGGAAGGAGGCGGGAACCGGCGAACGTCGGCCGCGGCGTACCTGGGGGTAAGGACAGACAGACGAGGTGAGAGAAAAGGAGACGGACAGATACGAGAGGGGGGAGAGAGGAAAAAAATAAATACTCTGAGGGACTGTTTACTTCAGCCGTATTCATCGTGAAACTTGCTAATTAGCACATTATTAGGAAAGGCGATTTGCAAAGATTCATTAAAAAACCTTATACTCACTTCTGTGAAGCTGGATCACGAATGATTCACGTGAACATAGGTTCATTTAGAACATTTAGGTAGATTGGGGACGCATTCCCTTCAAAAACAAACGTAATCCACTGCGTCTTCAGTGGCTCAGATGTCGGGAGTAAATGACGACTGCTATGTTCATTATTACAACCAACAACAGAACACGTCAATCGCTCACTCTTGTCTACATCTGCTCCGGCGGTGAAACAATGGCGGACTGATGACAGCTCACTCAGAGCGGGGCTGAGGTAAGACGCCAGTCCAGTCTGTGCTGAAACGCTACTGTCAATCAAACTATCGTGGGAGGGGCCTGTTTTTGTGACGTCACACAGACAGGCATCTGAGATCGGCTCGATTTGAGAAAGGGGTAAAGATTTTAGTAGATAAAAAAAAAACACTGGGTGGATTTTTATCATTATAGGGTGGTTGTGTACACACACTGCCAACACACATTTCAGTTCAAACAACTTGTAAAATTGCATGCAGCATCCTATGACCCCTTTAACTAATAGGGGCCCCTGTGGTGACAAGTTTGTAGTATGCTGCTTTCCTGGCCATGAGCTCCTCGTGGGTCCCTTTCTCGATGACCACGCCCTGTGACATCACAGCGATGATGTCAGCAGTCTGAATGGTGGAAAGCCTGTGAGCAATGACAATACACGTGCGTCCCTGACGGGCCTCATCAAGCGCAGCCTGAACAACCTGAAGATTGAAAATTAAAGACATTTTGTGCATTAAAACGTTATTCAGAAATACAGGCATCAGTGCTGAGTGGAGTACTTTTAACCTCCTAATATTATACTTAGATTAATTTTAGGTAATATAATGCAACTACTTTTTGATTACATTTAGATTACTTTTAACTAGTGCTGTCAAACGATTAATCGCGATTAATCGCATCCAAAATAAAAGTTTTTGTTTACATAATATATGTGTGTATACTTTGTATATTTATTATGTATATATTAGGGATGCTGGTATCGGTATCTGGCCCGATACTGAGCTCCTGTACTCGTACTCGTTAAAATGTGATAAGTGCCATATTCAGACAAAGAAACACCGACAACAGACAGCAGAATGGAGTTATTCGAGATTAAAGATGTTAATGATACTTAATGGTAGGGAGAGAGAGAGAGAGAGAGCGAGAGAGAGAGAGAGAGAGAGAGAGAG